AAACACAACTTAATTAGGGGCTTCCCTGGTGGCGCAGGCATTGAGAGTCCGCCTGCCGATGCGGGGGACATGGGTTCATGCCCCGGTCCGGGAAGATCCCACGTGCCGCGGAGCGGCTGGGCCCGTGAGCCACGGCTGCTGAGCCTGTGCGTCCGGAGCCTGTGCTCCGCAACGGGAGAGGCCGCAACAGTGAGAGGCCCGAGTACTGCAAAAAAAAAAAAACTTAATTAGCTTCCTGCTAGGAAATATAATGCTGAAATTATTCAACTTCTGTGTTAAGAGGATAGTTTCTTTGCAGTAACTTGAATTGAAACTTATTCAGTCAGATAGTATAGGATCAGGTCTTATCACTTGGCCATTCCTGAGTTAATCTTCTCAGTTTTCTGGTTTCTTAAAAAATGTATTCTAATTCCAAAGAGATAGCCAGAATAATTGTTGAATGTTAATATATTTTGTGGTTTCTGGGAACATATTTCTTAAGTTTCCTTCATGGTAATTTTTATTGTCATTCATTTATTGATTACTGTGAGAGAAATACCATAAGGTATTTTTGCTTACAACTAATAGCATGCTCTTCAAAAAGTATAAGAAGAAGGCTTTTCTTCCATATCATCATTTTTTCATACTTAAAGGCTCAGAATCATTCATGCTAAGAAAACAGGCAAAAGAGACACTTCAGGTGGCATTGATCTTGGAGAAGAACAGCATCCATTGGGCACACCCGCTCCGGGACGCAAACGAAGAAGGAAGGGAGGAGATAGTGATTATGATGATGATGATGATGATGATAGTGACGACCAAGCTGATGAAGATGATGAGGATGAAGAAGATAAAGAAGACAAAAAAGGAAAGAAGACTGAGATCTGTGAAGATGAGGTAATCAAATTTAGGTCGATTTCAATACTTAACTAATATTACATAACATATTGAAAATAACACAGAATTTGAAGCCAAATAGATTTGGGTTTGAATTTCGTTGTGACACTTGACTCAGTTTCTTCATCTGAAACTGAATATTATAATATTCACCTCAAAGTTTTTTGTGATGCTTAGGTAAATATTGAGTAGAATACAATGCCTTCTGTACATAGAGGGCATTTACACTGAATAAAAGAAGTTAAATTTTTCTGTTTATATAATGAGACTTCTCCAGACAACTATTCAGATTCTTAATTTTAGGTCTCCTCTTTCATTCTGTCTATTTAACATGCTACTTACATTTATTTTGTACAATACTTCATGCCTTAAAAGTGTTGTCAGGTTTAATGAAACTGGTGTATTTCCCAAAGCCCAGTTTATTAAGTGCCTAGCTCCAGGCTTTTTTTCTTTTCCTTTTTTTTTTTTAGCTCTAGGCATTTTTGATCAAAGGCCCCTCTCAATTTACAGTCTCGCTGAGGAAGATTTACAGTAAGAAAATGTAATGTGTTAAGTGCTAACTACTTTGATAGCGGTATTTACAATGTACTAGGCAGGTATGAAGGAAGGACGTTGAATCTTTCTGAGGAATAAATTTTCACAAAGGCGCTCTGGACTCATTAGCTGAGGCTACAAGCTGGGCTAAATGTTAACCTAGAGAAGAGTCCAGGAACCCATGGAAAAATCTTCCAAGCAGAGAGAACAGCATGAGCAAGGGCACAGAAGCCTTGAAACCACAATGTGCTTTAAGCGACTTACAAGTGCTCTCGTGTTACTAGACAGCTTCACATGCCACAACTGTGAACTCGGATTTTATAGTTTTGTGGTAATAGGAAGCCACTGAAAGTTTATAAGTGAGGGAATGACATGGTCAGACTTGATTTTTTCATTGGCTCACTATGGCAGCTCTGTGGAAGATAGAAATAGATTTGAATAGAGCAAGATCAGAGGTAGGAAGATCAGTCAGGAGATATTGCAGTAGTTTAGGTGAGTTATGAGGGGTCTGAAACTGGACTAAAGGAAGGAAAGGATTCAATAAATATTTAGGAGGAAACTGAAGATGGACTGTGTAAGTTGATGGAGGGAGAGGTAGGATTGATTCCAGCTATCTGGCTTGGGGATTGCTTGCTCTGCTGTTGTTGCCATTAACTGAGACAGAGAAATCAGAAGGAGCAGAGGAAATAGATGACAGGGGAGGAGGGGAATATGGAACAGATAACTGAAGACAGGAAATGATGGTAGGTTTATTTTGGACATGTTGAGTTTGAGGTGCCTGTTCAGAAGCTCAGCAGTCAGTTGGATTTAAGAATCTAAAGTCTGGGGGCTTCCCTGGTGGCGCAGTGGTTGAGAGTCCGCCTGCCGATGCAGGGGACACGGGTTCAGGGAAGATCCCACGTGCCGCGGAGCGGCTGGGCCCGTGAGCCGTGGCCGCTGAGCCTGCGCGTCCGGAGCCTGTGCTCCGCAACGGGAGAGACCGCAACAGTGAGAGGCCTGCGTACCGCAAAAAAAAAAAAAGAATCTAAAGTCTGGAGAAGAGTTCAGTCTTGAAAGTGTAGATCTGGAAGTTATTAGCACATAGACAATAGTTTAAAATAATGAGTTGGATAAGTTTGCACAGTGGGATTGGTTTATTAATTAGAGTAGTGGACTGAGGTTGGAACCCCAGGGAGTGTCAATATTTAAGAAGAGCCCACAAGGCTTCTTGCTGAAGAAGGAACAAAGAGGTAGAAAATTTCTGTAGTGGGTCAGGGATTTCCAATACCAAGACCACCTCCAGAGTCAGAGCGATTCACTAGGATGACTCACAGAAATCAGCATCTAGTCATGCCATGGCTACGAGTTATTACAGCAAAAGGAAACAAAGCAAAACCAGCAAAGAGAAAGGCATATGGGCCAAAGTCCAGAGGAAACCAGGCCCAGCTTTCAAGAGTCTTTTCCCAGTGGAGTCACACAGGATGGGCCTAATTCTCCCAGCAGTGAATTGCGACAGTCTGTGAAATGCTGTGTTCTGAGGAAGCTCGTTAGAAACGCTGTGCCCAGAGTTGTTTATTCAGGGCTGGCTACATAGGCACCCTCTGCATAGCATGTGCCAAAATTCCAGATTCCAAAAAGAAAAGTAGGTGTTCAGTATAAACCACATTGTTAGCACAGTTTAGGTCCAGTGAGCTATTCTTATCAGTTAGGGTGGGGGAACCCCCCAAAATTCAAGTTCCCAGACACTAGCCAAGGGCCAACTTTGTAAGCCGACCTTTCAAGGGACTACAGTATTAACTCTCTTCTACACATGTCATAATAATAAAAATCAAGAAACTTGAACGTTTTAAAAAGGAGGGAATGATAAACAATGTTAAAGGAGCAGGGGCCTAGTGTGACGAGGACTGAAAGTGTTCGTTGTGTTTGGCAACACAGAGGTCATTGGTAACCAGTGCCAGCACTGTTTCGTTGGAAGTGTGAGAGCACAAGCCAGGCTATGATTGATTGAAAACAATAGAAAGTGAGAAAGTAAACTTAACTGTTTCCAGCATTATGCCTCAAAAGAAAGGGTAGTTCCTAGAGGCAGACAAAGACCAGGGAGTTTTCAGATGCCGAAGGTTTGAGATGATTTTTGGTTGAAGGGAAAGA